CTCCAATCGGCTCCAGGGATATATATGTATCGTTTGGTGGACTCCTGATGATGCTTAAGGGAGATCCCTCCATTGCTGCTAGATTTGAGCTTGACCAGAGGTTGTTCATACTCCTTAGGAAAGTCTGAAGAACAAATGTATGTTGGACTTTCAAAAAACAAACCTATTGAGACGATTGATATGCTTCTCGATTGTCTGTGATTAGTCATACAGCAAGAGTAACGACAGTTCATGTGGAAAAATGAGAATCACTTGAGTTTGTGAAAAGTTGCATCGTGCTCATTAAACTTGTCTTGAATTAGAGAAGAACATGAATATGCATCTGAAGATATATGACACTTAATTTCATCATATACCTGAGTTTCAGGTTATGAGCAAATTTGTTGAAATACATGGCTGTGGGAACTCTTTGAATATAATTCATCATGACCACTCATTTTATCTTAGACCTATCTTCAAACATGGACTGCATTTTATGTTTTCATGTCTGATTGCAGCATTTTCAATCATTAGTGAAAGGTGGGAATAAAATTAATAATTTCTTTCCACAATCTTTATTTCTAGTAAACTAATAAAAAACTATTTTAATTGGAGATTGGTGTAATTATGTATTGCTCAATATATGATATATATATGAACTATTTTTTACTAATACTATAAAAGTGGTTGTCTACCATAATTTAAACATTAAATAGATGAGTTTAAAATGATAAGTTAGCGAATCGCCTTTCTAGTCACTGTGTAAAATGTAAATAATAAACTCGAGCATGAAAATCATAATTTTTATCACATGTATTTTTTAGACTATAAAAAACTATGAAAAAAAATAATGATGGAGTTTTATGAGTCAGGGTTATTGAAAGATGAGTCAATTTTCAATTCATACTTGACTTGAAAGATGAGTGAATTATTAATTTGAGATTTAAAAGATGAGAAACTATCAATCATGTGTCTGAATTATTACATTTATCAATTCATGCTTAGAACTTTTTTAAACTACAAATTTAAGATTGTAACTATAAATGTAAAAAATTAAATAAAAAATCAAACCATAAATAAAAACTTAAATAATATAAAAATATGAGCAAATTTTTGTATGTCATGTTAGTTAAAAAAAAATATATATAACATATAAATAAAGTTATTCCAATATAAATAAAAAATATAAAAGTGTTTTACTTTTTAGAGATTTCAACTGATAATTTTAAATCATTTGGTAATAAATTGATAGATTTTATTTTTCAAGTCTCGAATTAATAGTTAAGTCATCTTTCCAGTCTCAACTTAATATAAATTAAAGTCTTAATTTATGGTTTTAGATCTTTTGGGTTGATAAATGCCTAGATGGATAATTCTCAATTAATAGCTTTATAAATAAAATAAATAAATAAAATCAGATTAAATAATATAAAATTGTTTGTTTATAAATATAAAAAAGTGCGATCCTGTACTAGTCACGTAACAATGATACCCAAATTGATAAATTGCAAATTTAGTTTTTCTCCAAAAGTATTTAGTATACATGGAAACATATCCGTACAAAATCTTCGTTTAATAATATTTCCTTTTTCTTTACCTGAGAATGCAAAATTTGACCACTCGAAACTTCAATAAACTGCAGTTTGAAAGGATGATTATGATTTTATTAATTATAGTTTTAGTCAAAAATTGAAGTCCAGCAAAAATCACTAGAAAATAAATGTTAAACTGTAAACATGTGATTGTGCTCGTCTTGGAATGATTGACTGTATATATTCAACGAAAATGCCCTAAATTTACTCGTCAACTCATTGTTTATCTTACTAATACTACACTCTTGAACTAAATAAATTAATGTCAGTTTGGTTAATGAACTTATTCCAAAATTATTGTTCACTAGATTTAACTCATTAAAATTAAAAAAAATAAAAAATCATTAAGAGTATTTATACGTTTTATTTTAATTTTTCTCTACGAATTCCAATGACACAATATCATTATTATAAACTTTCATGTTACCTTTTTCAAATTCGAAAATATCTCATTACTCAAATCCCGCCCCGTTTCTCTCTCATTTGGTTAAATTGAACAAAAGAATTGAAAATGTACCAATAACCTCTGTTTCTCACTTTCACTTTTTCTACATCTGAAAACCCTCCTCGGACAAGGCACCGCCACCCGCATTTTTCGTACTTCCACCAATGGCGAACACGACCCCTCAATTGCCCCTCGACGCCGACGGCGCGTGCATGCTCTGCAAGGTGAAGCCGACGGAGGAGGCGACTCTGACGTGCGCCATGTGCGCCACGCCGTGGCACGTCGATTGCCTCTCCGTTCTCCCTGAGACCATGTCCTCGGCGATTAGTTTCGAGTGCCCCGATTGCTCCGGCGAAGGGCTCGACGGAGGCCCGGCGCCGTTGGATCTGGAAAAGCAGGTTCTTTTCACAAAGATCCGAGAAATAGAGGCGGATGTGTCCCTGTCGGAGAGGGAGAAGGCGAGGAGAAGGCAGGAGCTTTTGAGTGGGAATGTAAATGGGGAAAGCGGTGATGTGAAAGAGGAGAAGGAGAACGATGTGCTGGGTGTGCTCGGAGAAAGCTTCAAGTGTTGCTATTGCATGGAGCTTCCTGAACGGCCTGTGACGGTATGAATTTTGGGTTTGGTCTCTCTGAATATTGAGTTTCTCTTCACTTGAATCTATTGGCTAGTTTGAATTAATTTCTTCTAAGTGTTTGATGGGTTGTAATTGATGTTCATCTCCCTATGTGGTTTTCGTTGCCAGTAGGTATACCCTTATATTTATGGTGCTTGGTTTTTGAATGTGCATCCTGAATTGGCAAACGATTTCCCATGAGGTAGATTATTGACACATGCTGGTAATTTTGTATGTGGTGTGACATTATGAACCATATCGACCTGTTTATGGATTGGTTGTGATTACACACTTTTATGTCTTGTGTTGGGTTTTTGAATGTGATTTTGTAACCTTAATTGGTAACTGGTTTCATTTAAGGTTGATTTTTGTTACTTGTTGGTATAATGACACGGATAGTGAATTTATATGTGATTTGTCTATATGAAACCTATTGCGCTGTTTGAATTATCATTAAGCATTCGGAAATTCGTATCATCTAGCACATTCATTTCATGATTGCTGCACACTCTTTAAAAGTTAGAATAGTGAATTTTAAATATGACATTACGTTAAAATTAAAATTCCATCAGTGACCTGTTTTGCTTTGTTTGAAAATATTACAACTTTTTGATAGCTTGTATTGTTATATTGTCACATGTGAACTATGATGTGATATACTTTCACTTATGTGGTTCTTATTCTGGGATTTTTCATTCCAAAAATGTAATTTATTTCCAGTGATGGTTGCACGTGTTCTTTAGAAGTTGGAGTAGTGAATGTTAAGTTTGATACAACAGTAAGTTTTCTCTGTTGAATTTACCTGAATTGAATTGTCACAAGTAGCTTACTGTTTGTATTTTCTATTACAATGTTTGAATTTGTAAGTGATTATACTCTCACTGTATTGATGCTCACTTTGAGCATGAAAGTTTCTCTTCCGAAATGGTAATTTTTCTCACAATGATTGCCATGTGTTTGATATTACCGAAATTCTTTTGCCTGTCTGTATTGCTTTAACCATTTGATCCATCACCACGTGCAAACTTATGAATCAACTGATGGCTTTCATGTAAAATATCTTTCCACTGACATTTTCTTTCTTTTCGTAATTGCAGACACCATGTGGCCACAATTTCTGCTTAAAATGTTTCGAGAAATGGATGAAGCAAGGAAAGCGCAACTGTGCAAAGTGTCGGTGCAGCATTCCAGCAAAAATGGCATCTCAGCCGCGCATCAACTCTGCCCTAGTGTCCGCCATACGTATGGCAAAACTGTCAAGATCAATAAGCTCTGGAGGGACTCAACAGGTTTACCGCTTTTTGCACAACCAAGACCGTCCTGATAGAGCATTCACCACTGAGAGGGCCCAGAAAGCTGGAATGGCTAATGCAGCTAGTGGGAGGATTTTCGTCACTGTCCCTAAAGACCACTTTGGACCTATTCCGGCGGAGAGCGATCCTGAGAGGAATCAGGGTGTTTTGGTGGGTGAGACTTGGGATTTACGTATGGATGTGAGGCAGTGGGGTGTGCACTATCCTCCTGTAGCTGGCATTGCTGGGCAGGCGCATTATGGTGCTCAGTCGGTAGTCATTTCAGGAGGTTATGAGGACGATGAAGACAATGGTGAATGGTTTATCTACACCGGAAG